GGGCTAATGAACTGACCTATGCTGCATACTCCTTTTTTTCCCTGGGTTATTATTTTCAATAATCCACGTGAGTTCACAACCACATGCACAACAGAGAAACTGGGAGAAGGAAGAAACATGAAAATGCCTCTGGGAATGACAGGATGTGGTAATGAGCAGTCAGACATTCTACCCAAAAACCATAAAAAAGAAATTACCATGAAGTGTGGCCTAAGGTTACTTGTCAACATACTTCCTCCGATCTCCAGTACCTTTCACTGTATACATTCTCGATTCTGAAACAACTGTGCAGTCTTCTACCAGGGACCCCTAGACATCAGCCTAAACCAGAATATATAATGTTTTACTTTTCAGGACTGTTTTGTTTCTTTTCCTTTTTCTCAGAGTAGTGAATTTAGTCTTATTCTTTAATATGGCAGCATGTAAGGTCATGTGTAATTTCTGCAAAGTAGAAAATTATTTCTGCAATATTCTTCACTGTAAATAAAGTTTGCATTTGCAAAACACCATAATACTAAGGAATATCTTTCAAGACTTAAACTGTTCCCCTTTAGTCATGCTAGATGACAAGTGCACCTAAGAACTTTTCCTCACTCCTGGTAATTTAGTTTCCTCAGATTTCTAGAAAACCAATTAAAAAAAAAATAGCACACATCCAGTTCAGGCACATTATCCATCTGAGAGATCAGAAACAAGATGTCCATCTCAGCATGTCAGTACTGTCCACTGTAATTTAGACATTCTTCAAAATGCATTGGTAACCAGGAGGGTAATAGTCCTCACATTAAAAAAGTCCTTCATTAAGTGGTTCCTCATCATACAGCCTATTACAGGCTCTCATGCCCTGACCTTGCATAACCTCAGAAAAATGTTGCTTTTAACAGGCAAACCAAACTGAGTAAATAAACTATCTTCTCTATCTAAGGGTAAAACCATCAGTAAACATATTAATAATATGGATAAAATCCCCCTTTGCACATCCCCAGTGGTATAAGAAAGCACTATTATTTCCTTTGTCTTCTGCAAAATTAAGTTATCCGCGCACCATGAGTAATCCCCTAAAATAACTTAAAAATATCCATAAACAAAATTGGATTTCATCTTAATAGCATTCTCTAATTTCTATCTTGTATAGTATAATGTATAAAAATCATATGCATGAAAACATAATACATGCTTTAAAGGGTTAGCTTCAATATCTGGAAAATGTTCTATTTTAGAGGTACAAAGACCACCAGTTAAATGCTTGGACTTCATTTTTGTCATCATGTCTATAAAAATGTAACATTTGGTTACCAACCTTGCCTCACACAAAATGCAAATCCACAGTTGTGGAACCACTTCCACATAGGGAACAACTCAATCATCTTGGACCATTCGAGCTTGAACGATGCCCGCAGAAGGGTGTGTTTTTTATTTAAAAGGTATTTAAACAAATCTGAATGGGTTGGAGAAGACAGTTAGTACTCAGTTTTGCTCACTTCCTTCCAAGAAGCCAACATGCATCAAACAGAAGTCATGTGCAAGTTCAAAACAAGTAAGAAGAGCTGCATCTCCCCATGTTTCATAACAAAACCTGGCACTCTGTTTTATGACACAGCAGATACAAGAAGGCTTCAAGGAAACCATACACAGTAAGACAAAACTGATAGGACATTGAGAATATCACTTATAAAGCCTGTTTCTAGTTGAGAACATTCCTAAATGCCAAACAGTTGGGAAGTAGGAGAGCAGTCAGGGCATGATCAGTACTCACTTGTCCTACCTTTGCACTCTCCCTAGGCAACTGCTAATGACTATACTCAAAAGCAGCAGACCTTTAGCTTGATCTAGCATGGTTACTTTTATATGCTCTTAGAAAGCTAATGTTGGACATCAGGTGGTTTCCAAGGTCTTAGTAAGTAATCCAAAGGTTTTATAGTGTAAGTTGCAGTTCAGACAATTTACAAGTTGGTATTTAAAGCTGTACACAAGCACCTGCTCTGAGTGTTCATTTTATTTTGAAATTAATCACTATGTACTACATTTATTTTTCCCGTAACAGAAGATAAGTGGCTTTTGCCTCAGCTCACAACTTGAGAAATACCATGTAGGTCAGTCTAAAAAAAAATCTGAAGTTGCATTAATTACTCAGAGGTAATTACACTTGCTTTTCCAATAGCATTTACTATTGCTACATCTGCAAAATGTTTTCCATTAGGACAAGTCTTCATATTTTCATAGCACTCTGAAACACATGCCATTAGGTCTGAAATTTCCAATGATTTATCATCTCTCTCCAAAGCACAACATTGATTTAAACCACTATCCCTCCTTGAATCAAAAGTAAAACATTAGCACTTGTCAATTTAGCACTTGCTAAAACATCAACAATTTTCATTTTTTTCCCTTTTCCTATTTTCTTTTATATGTCCTTTTCTCTCTCACACTGTTTTTATTCTGGGGTCTTTTGTTGTTTGGGTTTGGGGTTTTTTAATAAGACTTTCTGAATGTACTGAAGACTGAAAATTGACATTTGAAAATTGAGTATAATCCTTTATAACTACAATGTTTCTGTGTGAATCTGGTAAAGTTAGAGCCCTGAAAACAGCATACTCACTGTAGTGGTATTATCTTTCTATCACAGTGGCAAAACAGTGCTCCTCCCAAGACTAATCTATACCAGAAGCCCCCATTGCATTGTATTCCAAAGAGATGTAAAAGACAAAGGCTCCAAACACTACAAAGGGTGTCCATGGAGGGAACACCAGCACATGCATTAAGGAGCTTTGTGCCTAGCTGAAGTATTATAGAGCCTGAAAGGAAGAGGTGCAAAGAAAACAGTCCCTACTCATGGACTTCAGTTTCTTTGCAGCTTAGTTTTTCTGGGTACCCCTTTCTTTCTCTGTTCTCATTCAGTGACTGAAAAAGTGGTCCCTAGAAGATTCCTGGCTTCTACAGGTTATAAAACACAGCATTTTTCAAAGTGAAAAAGCAGTAGTTTAATTTTACCTATATCTATAATGCTATACCTATAATTTCACCTGTGTGGACCTTCATTCCACATCTTATTCTACTTGGATAACTTCTTCATGAGCAGTAGAATCCTTTTGAACTTAAAGTTTCAACAGTAATCAGGAAGCGTCAGCAATGTTAAAACACTGCACAGCAGATGACTGCACACACTTATTTCCCTTCTGCTTTTGCCTGAACCTCTTGCTGTTCCACTTCCTGCAGACCCACTGAAGGAATTCAGCACTCATTTTAGAACCGTGTTACCTTTTTAGACTTAATTTAAAGCCATGCTATTTCAAACACAAATGAACTTAAATATTTAGATATGGCATAGATCTTCAGAATCTGGGAACTGTGAACTTCTTAAAGGCAGCTTGCCAGATGAGACTGCTCAGTTTTAGTCTGGATCTCAGATACCAAAGACCAAACTTATCAACAGTGGTACAAGAAATCTAGCATTCTAACCAGAGAAAAAAAAATAATCATCAGAGCTTCTTCCATATCTGTTTTGGACTATCTCTGAAACACTCCATTATTCTGCTAGATTTTATTGAGTACCCACAATTCTCACAGATGTGAAAAAAGAACTTCCTCTGAAAGAGTTCACATGCTACACTCTGAGAAAAAGAATCTGTAGCAGAACTGAACAGAAACCACATGCCAGAGAGCACTGTGTCATTTAACTCTGAAAACTGCCTAAGGATGACAGGTATGTTATTTGGGATAAGCAAGAAGAAACTATCTTGTCATTTAGATTCATTCAAATTACAATTCCTCAAATTGCTCTTCTTCCTATACAAGGTGTGTCTAAGGACTGAGAATACCAAATTACTTTTTTTTTTACAAAATGGTGCTTCCATCACAATTAAGATACCTCCAACCTTTAGAAAAACCATGTAGGCTCTGAAAAATGCAACCTGAAAAGTAACTAATTTCAGCCTTCCCAGCGGAGATACTGTTTTGATTTTTTTAATATAAGACCATCATAAATGCTGAGGCTTCAGGCTTTAAATTTATTCTTGCTTATGCAAACCTGAAGCACCAAGAAGACCATTAAATAAGTGCGGGTCTTGTTCAGTGAACATATTTTGCAAGATATTGGGCATGGTAACAGCTGTTGTCACTGGAGTATCAGTGACTCCAAAGCAGGGAGAACCCACCTAGTCAGCAGCTAAGAAGTAAAATTTCATAGAACAACCACCATTAATAATACACAACAATACATAAAAAACAGGGGAAGGAATGGTGCAGAGATGATGTTACTTCTATGTGGCAACATTTCCCACCCCTTCTCCACACGTACCTCACTTCACAAAACCTTTTAGATACAAATAAAATAGCCATGACCTTTTTTCCTCCTCTGTATGATTAATTACTTAATGTATTATTAATTGGAAAATGTAGCTGAATTTCAAATGCTTTCATTCTCTCAGCATATCATGCTGTCTGGGAAGCGCCGATTAAGCTGTTCATCAAAGGTGAGCAGGCAAGGTCATGTAGACTGCACCTCTTCAGTTATTCATTACCTGTCCTAAATAGTAATTAACAACAGCAATATTTCCATAAATCAAAGCTTTTCTGATTACCTCCAGATGATAAGGGTTGGGGGAAGGGAAGAAAGGAAAAGTGTATTCCTTTTTCCTGCATTTCTTCTAATGCTTACCTGAATAATTAAATTGATATCTTAGCTGTCATATAAAAAGCAGAGTTTGACTGTGCATCAATGGGAATTCCACACAGAACAAAAAGAGATGGTTAGGGTTTCTTTTCTCCCTTCCCCATGTCCTCCAAACTTTAAAGGGGGACTTGATCTAAGAAGGCTTCTCAATTACAAAGACTGTTATATTTATTATCTTTGTTTCTTTTTATTACCTCCATTATCAAGGTTCAAGTGGATATCACAGAGAATGGCCTCAAGGCCATATTCAGTGAGGCTCCCAGCACTTAAGTGCACTTAAGTACTTTCTTAAGTAACTTATCCCTTCAGTATCTGTGGGGTTTCTCACCTTGAGGCATCTCAGGTGGCAAATAGTGAGGCTCTTGAGCGCTGACATGTACCCAGTCGAAATCATCGTACAAGTCTTGGTGGTAGTCACAGGGCCCAGGACCATCATCGAACGTGCATCCCCCTAGAGAAGAAACTTGTTATTAGTTTACTTAAAAGCAGAGATCTTCCAAGAGTCAACCAGAGGTGTTCCTCCAAGATCCACCACAACTACAGTGTCCACTCAGACTGTGCCACAGTTCACAGGTTTGCCTGTGCAAAGCTAAAAACTGCAAGCAGCTGATCCATCAGTGTTCTTCTCTCTTTTGTAAAAACATCACTACCTCGTGTAACCAATTTCCCTCAAGAGCACCTTCTGTCAGGGCAGATCACAGCCTGAAGTCACCAATCCAACTGAAATCTATCCTAATGCCTGTGTGACAAAAAGCAACACATTATATAAACCACAGGGGAAACTGAAAATAATGGACCAGACTCAAAAACGATAGATGAAAATCAAAAATTCTGAAGCATTGAAAGTATAAGCAGTCCAAACACCAGCAACAAGGATAAATATTGTCCCCAAAACAGTCAGACAAAATAATTAAAATTTACTTAGAAATATAATAATTTGTGCAGAATGGAGATCTTGCTTTACTAAATCAGTCTAGCATAACAGAACAAAGTGTTTTTTCAGGGTCACACAAACAATGGATATGAAAACCTTACAACAAAAGCTGAGAAGAGAAGTGACAGGAAGAAAGAAGAATGGGAGGAATGTAAACGATGGGAGGGAAAAAATCCAGAATTCCCATGTAACACAGTAATGTCTGCTCTGTCTCATTCAGTAAGTTTTTTATTGCATTCTTAACTCAAGGCCATTAAGTAGGTTGGGGAAAAGAGAGAAGAAAGTACGATGATCACAGAAACAGATCAAGGTTTGAGAAGGAAGAAACAAAGGAATCAAAAGAGCCTGGTCAAAGAAAGAGCAGAGCATAAAGGCGAGAAAATACAGATGTCATGCATACAATTCTGCAGCAGCTGTTATCTCTATATGCATGGCACAAAGCCCTCGAGTTTTCTCCTCCTGCTCAAAAACAAAAGGCAGTAGCAGGAGAGAGTGAAAGAGAAAACACAGTGCATTCATCATTATTTAGGCAGTATTTTTTAATCCAGAAAGCAGCTATATAAAAACTCAAGAATTAGATTATAGAGAATTCTTGGAAATCAGGTGGGATGTTTCTTGCATCTTCTCCCTGTCCTCAGTAGTTCGAACATATAAACCCAATTAACAACTCTAGCCACAACAACAGTTGATTTTGTTAAGACACTTCTAGAATAACAGGGGCATTTGCATCGACTTTGTTGTCTAACTTTTTTAAGACAAAATATGGGACAAGTACGGCGAGATCCAAGAACAAACAAAACCCCCTTATTACAATAAATTCTAGTGTCGCCATAAGATGAGTCACCACCATGGCACCAGCCGCCAACCCCCTCCCATGCTTGCCAGGCTCTCACCAGCTCACACTACAGTCTGGAGGCAAATAGACTGGAGGTGGGAAAAGGGAGATTGAGGGCCATCAGGAACTACAGTCTGTGCTCATTTCTGCCCTCTGTACAAGACATACACGGTCTGGAACTCAGAAAGGCCAGAGAAAAAGGAAAGGAGGAATGGGCATGCACATCACCAAATTGAGAATAAAAATAATTTTAACCTATCCAAAGCAGAATATTCAAATATCTCGTAACAGGAAGAGAGTTTGTACAAACAGTGTTCGTATTTAGGGAAGGGAAAATTTCCTAAATTTCATAAGCAAATCTATACTGTGTCCCACACCGAGATTGTTTCATCTTCAGTTAGGGACAACTCAAACAGTTCACAGAAATCTGCAAAAGTTTTTGTTATTTTGAATGAATGACACAACCAAGTTTTAGCTAATCCCTGCATCATCAAAAACCATTGTCAGATACATTCCCAGGCACTCCCAGAACTACATGTTAACCACTGCTTCAGCTGGCAAGGACAACATCAGGACAGAATGAAAATTCTACACTGTAGCAAAATTCATGCTAAACCTTGTACTGTAAAACCTTAAAATTTCATTTTCATCTCTATGTTAAAAAACTTGCTCAAACATCACCTTGTGACAACATAAGCATAGCATCAACAGCAACAGCAGAAAAACCCCCAACATTTCATGTTCTGTACCAAGCTGGTTACTACATCACTGTCAAAGACTGCAAGGCACAGGAAGAGAAATATTTGTGCTTCAAAGAAACATTTATACTTTTCAAAGTTTCAACTCCAGTGCCCTCTGTTACCACTGAGAGACTTTTCTAATTAACATATATTATGATAAAGCTCAAAAGGCTTAGAACATAAATCTTGGGTTTTGATTTAGCTTACAATACACTTCTATGATCACTTTACAGCAAAAAATGTACTTTTCCTTCAACATTTAATAGATAAATGAATAGCAGTTTCCCTTAAAGGGAAGTTATCAGTCTGATGTCCCAGCACCAAAATGACATATGGCTTTGAAGCACATGCCTGCAGGGCACCCATTACCCTTTTTAATGGTTTAAGTGCCCTCAGTATATAAATTTAAACTACCAATGAATCTTTTAGACTCATCTGGAAGATGAATGTCCTTAATTGCTTGTCTTTGTACCCACTATTAATTTTAGTTATCAGGGTTCTGATTAGCAATAACAATGTGCCTGTTAATACACAGCAAGCAATCCAAACCTCCGTGTGTGCACATCATGGCTGCATCCACAGAACAAGCAAAGTGTGCATTTATCACACGCACATGAGCAAAGTTTATCAGTATAGACTATCAACCCACTACAAAATCGACCCTGTAACAACTGCTTAAACCAACAGCTTCCTCTCATGAAGCACACTACCTCCTCTTACCAACATACCAAGACATTCCAAGTCAAGTAAGGTAACAGCCAATGCTGTAGTGATTTATCCAGTATAACACAAGTCAAACCAAACATTTTAAACCCTCTGCAGACTACTCCTTATGACTTAAACCATGAGCAAATTCAGACATCCCTTTCTCTGTTTTAGCAGTCAATTGCCTGAGTGCTATTCCGGTAACTCCAGGCACTAAGAGACAAATGTAGTGTAACATGCTGTGTGGAAAACGCAAGGAGAAGAGATGGTGGGTGAGCGAAACCTGCAGTGATATATTTTGTTCCCAGTCATTTGTTCAAAACCGTATACATTTTAAATCAATCTTGAACCACTCAAACATAAAATCACATGTGACAAAAGTACACTGTAGGTCAGGACTTATTAGCACCTAATTCAGCTACTGGGCCACTCTCTGCAATAATGTAACAGTGCTGTTCAGAGAAGAAAGTGGATCAGCTTGATGAACGTTTACTACCTCCCAGCCAAGTTCAGCAACTGAACTCAAATACCCACTCGTATTTGTTGCCCAACGTTTTGACAACAGTCTGCTAATATACTACAAATGACAAGTTAGGCAGCTCCTACTAAGCCATTTCTAATATCCCCCAAAACTCTATAAAAAGGTACTTCACTACCAACCACTGTTCCATTACATATCATCACCCCATTCCTTTAGCTACAGCTGATGTGTAACCTGAAATTTATCTTCAATATTACCCTGCTACTTGAATTTATGCATACCTACCAACACACACATCACCCCACAGTGATTTGTGCACGTCCGCTCAATCTCCTGGCTGGAAGCACACACTGCTGACATTCAAATGCTCTTGGAGCTTGCACTCCCTAAATCCACATTTACCTTAGATTTCTAATATCATTTTTCTGAAAAAGGTGGCAGGAGCAGCAATACAACAGACTGGTCTGACCTCAGAAGCCTGATGTAAGCCTAAGGACTGGGATGCAAGGCAGCCAGCAGCACCTCCTCCTTTCAAGTGACACTGCCATCAGGATATGGCCCAGAAGAGCCAGATGTGGCAGCATCAACCAGAGTCATGACTTTCCAAACCTGCAGTGGTGGCAGCAGCCATCAAGTCACCTCAACAATCGAAGACAAAAAGAAAAATCAGGTAGTCAGTCAGAAACAAATGCCCCATCAAGAGCTGGAATGGTAAGCTAGGAAGACAGAAAGAATTTTAAGCGATTATTTTGTCCAACTGCTAATTGTATTTTGGGTCCATCAACTTTGTTCAGTTGCCGAGGAAGTATTTGGGAAACATCTACATTCCACGGAAGCCAAGCCAATCAACAATTCACTGTATCCATTATCTTTTCCCACAAGCTGCACTAGGTTTAACAGTTCTTCACTAGGTTAAATGCTGTTCAGATTAAACAGACCCAGAACTCACACATTCCTCTTCAATGTCCTTCTAAAAGATAAGTGATAAATCATACTAGCCTCAAAAAATTTCCTGCCTACATGTCCATTTTCATTTATAAAAGATAATGAATCTTAAATGTTCATTATAAAAAGAAAGATTAATATCCCACACTGAACTCTCAGAAAATAAATTAAAGCTCTACTAACTAACAAGGTCATCAAGATTAATCTAAATTCAATCTTAAAATTAATCACAAAATCCCCAAAATTAAACTAAATTTAATACAGGTCGTATAGTCAAGGTTTACACATCATCTATTTGTGATGGGTTGACCCTGGCTGGACACCATGTGTCCACAAAAGCTGCTCTATCACTCCCCTCCTCAAGGAAGAGAAAAATATTATAAAAGACCTATGGGTCAAGATAAAGACAGGGAAAGATCATACACCAATTACCATCATGGGCAAACCAGACTTGACTTAATTTATTAGCAATCAAATCAGAGTAGGGTAATGAGAAATAATATGAAGTCTTAAAAAACCTTTCCCCACCCCTTCCTTTTTTCCTGGCTTAACTTTACTCCTGATTTCCTCTACCTCCTGGCCCTCAGTGGTGCAGGGGGACAGGGAATGGGGGTTGTGATCAGTTCCTGACATGTTTTCTCTCCCTTTCCTTTCTCCTCAAGGGCAGGGTTCCTCACACCCTTCCCCTTCTCTAGCATGGGGTCCCTCCCCTGGAAGCCAGTCCTCCACAAACTTCTCCAATATCAGGCCTTCCAACAGGCTGCAGTTTTTCACAAACTGCTCTTATGTAGG